AGTTTTTAAGATTGACTTTAATTGTCGTGCAGCTAAGATAAAATTAGACACGTATCAGGCCGACTATATAAAGTTAATTTTCATTATGCCCCTTTAGGCTTACTCTATAAAACGCTTAAAAATCTTAAATCCAAGAGAAAAGCTCCATACAGTCGTATCACGATAAATTGTTCCTTCCCGAGAAGAAACTTCAGAGATTCGTAAAAGCTGCTGCCCAATTGAGAAAACTCCATAATCTTGTCAGAATTCCTTACAATCTGGTCACCTCGTTCATTTATAATATATTCCCATCCAATTATTAAATTTGTTATTTAAATATAAATCTTAGTTCGAATATTTGTACTCTCCTTAAATGCAAATTTCGACAAATTACAAGCCCATGTAAGGTGAACAGGGGAGTGCTATTCCATTACCTCATAGGATAGATGAGATTTCGAAGATATAGGCTTGGCTAGAATACATTATATTAACTTACGTGTGGGTATATGTATATTTATAGCCTAATCAACCAATTTATAGCACAAAATACGTTATAATACGCATATCTCATGACTAAATTTCAACGTTTCAACATCGTTTCAGCATCACAACTCCTTGGGCAGCTTCCATAGAAATATATGTACTTTAGGTATATCAAAAAGTACCGATTAGAAAGGTGATTCGACAAGTGACTTATTTTTTGCTTATTTTGTGTTTTTGCTTTTTTTTTCTTCAATTTATTCAATATATATTTTCGTTATCATTATTTTTATTATTATGCTTTGTTTTGTTTCTTTCATATTTTGTATTTGTTTTGCTTTATCAAATTTCACCTTAGTTGCGTTTGTTTTTCGTATGTTCGGTATTATTTTATATTTTTATTTATCTGAGGTTTGTTTATGATCTCTCATCTGTTTTGCTATATCATTTAAGGACTTTATTGCAGCAACATCATATCTGAGTGAATGAGTCGAATTGATATGATGCAGTGTTTGTTGTTATTTTGTTTTTATTTTATTTCTTTTTTTTTTTTGTTTGTTTTTTGTTTTGGCACACTAAGACTTTGTTTGGAATTGAGAGGCAATTGTTCTGTTAATCCTTTCGCTTAAACTGTTTCGTTTCTTTATTTGCATTTCTTTAACATGTGCTAATTTCATTTTCTTTATGTATACTTCATATATTTCTTTAATTCTATAATAATTTGCATTCATTTGTTTTTAAACTGGAGAAATCAGCAATAAAATTACAGATAGAGAGAGAGAGAGAGAAAGAGGGTGAGTGAGAGGGAAAAGGTGTGTGGAACAGAAACCAAATGAAAAACGAAATTATGAAGACTTTAAGACTAGGCTCTTTTGCGGAACTCTTAATAGGCTACCTTAAACTAGTGTACAAAAATATCGATAACTTTAAAGCGATTAATTTTAAAACAACAACAACGACATCAATTTGTAATACTTAAAATACTGTCATATACATAATAATTACAGAGAGAGAGAGAGAGAGAGTAGAAAGATGGGATTATGAATGGAAAGGGAGGGTCGATCGGGGATTTGTTGTCAATAAATCAGTTAAAGTATTCATTTACATAAGTATTATAATTGACTCACAGAGTTTCATACAATTCGTGTGTGTTTGTGGATGTGTTTCCTCTTCTGCTATCGATTGGAATTTTCTTTGTATCATTTCGATTACAATTTAGATTCGAGTCTGTGATCGATATACTTGAAGAAATCGAATTGAATTTGCCTATCATATTTGCAATTCCTTCAGCTTTGGCTGGGTATGCCTTCGAAAGGACTAGCCTTATCGATAACCGATTTTCGATTATAGATTCGAATATTTTAGCGTATTTTTGCGCTTCTTCCGTAGCTATCGACTTGACTTCTTGTTTATTCTTGGCTCACGCTTGAATGGATTTAGATTCAAGTTTCATAGATAAAGCTCGATACAATGAAGAGTTCTTAAACATATTCTCAATCCCTTCAGCTTTGGTGTGTGTCGGAGTGTTTGTTTGGTTGCTTTGTTGTGATGCAAATTATATGATGAAGTTTACACAGTTTACATTTATCATAGTGTTGCATTTATATATCGTAAGATCGATTCGATTTTAGTTGTATTACATTTGCTAGCATCGTGCTCTTAACTTTTGTCACGTTTGTCCTTATATAAAAAGGAAAAAACAAACTCAAAACTTTTGTGGTCCCTGGCATATGTATGTAAATAAAAGAAAAGAAAAACCTATTTACTTCTCTTTTTCAAGATTAACAATTACAGAACGAATGTGAAAAACAAGATCATACTTATGTTTGTACATATGTCTCCCATGTGCATACATAGACTATATTCGCTTAACAGTATAGATGATTAAGAGACTTCGATTAAGTTGTGCTTGTCGATTTATAGTTCATTTGGTTTTGTTTTTCTTTTGGCTTTTGGTACGTTTAATTAAATTTAGTTGGACTGTTTAGCTGGCTGTGACCCATTTATTGAACCCATTGAAATTGTTCCTTGAATTGATGCGCTATCGTCATCGCTATCGGTATCGATATCGATGTCGATTTGGCATTTTTTGTGCTTTTTGTACAATGCAAAATGGCGCACAACTCAAACGCCGACTAGTAGTTAGTTAGTTGTTGTTGTTGTTGTTGTATCTCTTACATATTGTTAGTAGATAGTAGCATATAGAACATATGTATATAGTATATGTGGTGTGTATAGATATATAAATATTATCTGAATAGTGTCGCTTGTGTTTTGTTTTTTGTTTTGTTTTTTCGTCGTGCGCTACATACACAATGCGAATAGTTACGCTAGCTTGTTCTGTTATTTTTGTTTATCGATAACGCTTAACGATTAAGAACGTTCGCTTTCTAGGCGCTACGAAACTCTCTATAGTGTGCGTGGCTAGGCCTGCGATTAATCGCCACATTTGACTACAAATAACAACGGTTCGGCTAGGGCGGAGCGTGCGGTCGAGCGTAGAGTTGCCAAAACGATCGATAAATATATCGATAAGTAGGTAAGTAGACTAAAAACCAATTAGGTAGGCTCGGTTACGTCCTGCCTTGACCATTTCTGCTTAAATCAAAATATCATTTATCTTGAACGATATCAGCAGTGCTATCGATAATTTTGCAGCTTTGGTACACTGTTCAAGGCGGTGTGGGGACGGTCTCTAACAGTGTTAAAAGGTATTTCATTTCTAGCTTAAAGTAACACGTTTTTCTCTTAAAATCTTTCGATTAAAAACAGTTTCTTTGTTTTTTTTTTTTTTTCAATGTTGTTTTTTTTTTTTTCTTTCTTTTGTTTCTTTTTTCATAACACAATATAACAATTAGGTTTTTGTTTTAGTTCCTTGTTGAGTTTGTTTGCGCTTCTTGAAGTTAACTATTTATGTTTCCGTTTTGCCATTAGGTTAAGTTTTTGTTTAAAGTGTTACAATAAAATGGCGCTTAGCTTCTAGATGAAACATTAGATTGGAGGAGCTTCTATTTAGTTAGGAGCTAAGCTTAAGTATTGTTGTTTGTGCATTTGCTAGAGACTAAACTAAGAGACTTTTTTGAAAAGCCCGCATTAACGTAGAAGAAGTTGGCGTTCTATAAAAGCTTAAATGTACCCAGCGAGCTTTAAGGAGAAGGTGCTCCAAAACGAAAACTATAAAGCCAACGAATGTATCGCCTAGACTACACTAGATGTGAGATGAGTTTGGATTAGTATCGATTATTGCTGTATTCCATTGGATTCTAGGCTAGATTGCTATAGTGTAGGTAGGTCTGGTAATAGGTAGACTAACGCTTAGACAGATCTAATAATAATAATAATCATCATCATCATAACTTCCAACTTATTATCCATGTGCTAATAGTATATATATATGTATATGTATGTGTATGTATGTATACTCTAATGGCTCTATATATAAGTATTTGTATATTATATAACTTTATAGATTTATACTAAATATCTATATATCTATTTATGTACATATATTTGTGTGTGTGTGTCTATCTTATCGATTTACTCTCGGTTTCTGTGTGGTATTCAGAATTTGGTATCCTCGCTTGTTGCTGTTGTTCCATGAATTGATTAGTATTTAAAATGTTTCTTAAATAGTTCTCTATATAAGTTATTAAAGCTTTCGGTTTTCGTTACACTATTTCATATCATATCATATATAAATATTTGTATTCATATATGTATATTGCCTATATATACATAGATGTATATATGGATTTGTGTCTGTGTCTGTGTATATATATATAACTACTAATACCTAATAGGATAAGAGGTATATACATTTTGGTTTTTCCATTAGCCATTGCTATTGAGGCACAGCCCATCCACCGGAATAAGTCCAGGACCCAAGGCGAAGGATGAATGGATCTGAACTTTATACTCATCACACATTTTTAATACTCATACAAATCATATAATGGGCGCCAATGGCATGGACGCTATATATAGGACGGTATTATATCTAGGTACTCGCAGATGGCCGATGTATCAAATCTTGAGCAAAGCGATAACGATATCTAGAGAGCGGAATGCAGATATGTTTATGATTTAGATGATTTAAGGGAATGAACGAAGCGCAGTGATCAAATTTAAAAGAGCTGAAAACGAAAACTATAATGAGATGACCTTAATGATATCGATAACGATAACGATAACAGCATAGTTGGCAATTACTATATGATGATTGCAAAGTTATCGATAATAATAGTCAATCAATAAGAGCCTTAAATGACAGGAAGGTATATGATATATGTAAATCGAATATCGAAAGGGCGATAACGATAACGATAACTCGCTTATACTGTATACATGGAGAATGTTGAACAATTGCGAATAAATGAATAGTTAAACTGGGTTTCTGGACTTATTGCTGGATAGGCTACTCAATTTGCTTTGGTTACTTGTCTTCTTCTTCTTATCTCGATTACTAATTTGTATGTGGTTTTTTGTGGGGGAATGCCCCTACTTTCATCTCTTCTTTGTAGGTTCCTAGCTCTAGTGAATGGTTTTAGGGCTAATCATATAATGTACCCAGGTGTAGTGTCCTGTATGTGTTGTACCTTCCGTAATACTGTCCGATGGTTAGTCGTGTCTGTCCGTGCTCGCGTGGTCCTCCTGTGATTATAGTTCTCAAAGCTTGTCTTTGTCCCGATCGATGCTCATTGCTTTAAAGATGCCACGCCCGATGCCATAGCGCAGGTTGAACTGATCCAGGCTGGAGGCGCGCGGTCGATTGCTGCCACTGGCTGTGGCGTCCGCCTCAACAGTTGCGCTCGCCTGGCCGCCGGCGCTGCCACTTGCGCTGGCTCCGATGCCGGCTGCCAGACGCTCATCGGCGTCCGTTTCGCTGCACTCGGTTTCGGTGTCGCTGAACTTGCGGCGTCTGCGCAGGAACGTGCTGCAGTGCCGCAGCTCGCCCAGGTTGTCGGACAGCGAGTGGCCCCGCTTGCGCTCCTGCCTCTCCATTTCGGCGGCCAGCATTTGCACCTCCCAGTCGTTGTTGCTGCTGCCTGTGGCCGCCACGAGTGCCGCGCCACTCAGCTCGTCCTCGGCCTCGTCGTCGTCCTCGTCGTCGTCGTCCACATCGACGTTCACCTTGCTGGACGATGAACTCGAACTGGAGCTCTCGCCGATATCGAGAATGACGCTGTCCGAGAGCCGGGTCAGATTGCCCGTCACGTCGGAGATCATCATGGCCGCCGCGTTGCTGCTGCTGCTGCTGCTATCGGCCGTCAGGCCGCCGCCCATGCTGCTGCCCATCCCCAGGCCCTGCTCATGCCAGTCCCGATAGCCGGGCAGAGCGGCCCCGCCCCGGCTGCTGTGCGGCGCATAGAAGCTGGGGTGGCTCTGCGCGTGTCGCGTTGCCAAGGTGCCCGGCCCGCTGTAGTAGCTGCTCGGGCAGTTGAGCGCATTCGCCGAGGCCGCATGATACCGGCTGGGGCCGGGCGATATGCTGCGCCGGCCCTGGATGGGTGGCGAGGAGGTGAACACAGTGTCCAACGAGTCGCCGCGCTGCAGACAGAGAATATTTGCAATGAAAAGCAAGTAAAAAAGCTCCAGTCGAGACTGCTCGACTACGAGTTGCCCTGAATCCCTGGAAGGAACCTCAAGGATATTTCCATAATTCTAAGTTGCTTTTCTGCTAACACAAGGAAAAGCGTTTGCATACGCACACACAGACACGAAGAAGATAGAAAACGAATTTTATTGTTAAATAACTTTCTTTATATATAGACTGTATATGTGGGGAGAAGAAGAATGTGAATTTGGAGGTGGGGGGCGGAATTTAACAAAAACCGAAATTCTATAAAATAAACACGAATATATGTTCAAAATTTGGAGACTCTACCTCTAAAGATCTGGGAAATATAATTTTAAACCTGATTTTCGATAAGGTTTTTATCGATAACTAAATAACGAAAGTAGTTATCGATTTTTTAAGACAAACTAGATATCTGCGCTGTATTTACGAACATTTAAGAAAATATTTCGAGTCTCTAGCTCTTACATCTTTTGAGATTGACGCGCTCAAACATAAGGACAGATAGACAAACAGATATAGCTAAAACGAATCAGCTCGTCGCTCTGAACAAGAATATGTTGTATATACTATACTAAATGGAATCTGCCACGCCTCCTTCTGCCTGTAACATACGTTGAACAAAACCATCATACCCCGATTTCCCACATTCCATGGGTGCAGGGTATACAAAAATGAATTATCAGCGCATCGCATCGCATTTTCTTAGCTCTGCCAAGCGAACAGGCACTCGGAGCAGTGACATGGCATATGTAAATCCAGGAAACCTACGGGCAGGCCAGCAACAGCTGCTCAAGAAACTTGCTTAATGATGTGCCTTTCGGGTTGCATAAGTGTTATGCGAGACTTGAGGCAGGCGGAGAGTCCACATTCAGCTGCTGCCTTTGCTGCATTTTTAAATTATTCAATAAATGCGCTCAGCTGCTCAATTTGCTGCACGAGCTGAGTAGGCAGCGCTTGCATCTGTCGCCCTCAAGTTATTGGCTATGAATTGAACAGTATCAAATCCAAGCTGAATCTGCTGAATTTGCGGAATTTGCTGAATTCGCTGATTTTGCGGAATTTGCTGACTATCTTTGCCAGAGCTAAGTGCAATCTGCAGCTTTGTTTCTGTACTCAGGATCAAGTAAGAAGAAGGAGAAATGACTGAATATAACTTCTCCAAGAACTTATAAATGTATCATATTTTCTATATATATATATATATATATATATGTATATAAATATATTACCAAGCTTTATTTCATTCTTAATCCTTCTCGACTTTTATTCTCTTATAGCTCAAACTAAGCTCTGCCTCTCTTTTTCTTCTTCTTTGTCTATTAGTCATCATCGCACTATCGTCAACCCTATCGTCAGACTCCTCCATCACTATGATGCCCATCGAACTGATCCCTTAAATCTCTCCTTGGCCTACTACGATATCTATCTTCAGCTGACTCTGAGTCTCACTCAAATACTTTGTTGCTCCATTGGATTGGATCTATCGGATCTATCATTACACTTGAGAGTGACAAGTGAAACTCTGCCGGAGTTGAATTTTCAAATTTTATACTTTTAGTTTCAAACGCTTGAAATTAAAAGTATTTTCGAGCTCTAGGTAAAAAACAGCGGAAGATATAGTCTTTATTCTCATATCCCACGCCTATATCTATATACTTATATCTATTATATCTATACTTATATATCTTTTATACTTGTAAGGTTGTAAAACCGTAGATTTGCCACGCCCCCGTGGACATAGCTATATACATATATAGTTGTATAATTGTAGGTGAATTTTTGTGAAGGGCTTTACAGTAACGTGAGTTGCAAATTTAAAGGCGTAGACTTCATAACTACGGGCTCTTAAAGTCCAAGTGGAATATATCGCTATCCTATTGGGTATTAGACAGATGGACAGACACGCATAGTGCAAGAACCAATATACTCATTTCATTTGTATTTTTACACTGACGCACTTACCATGAAGAGCAACTCGGCCGAGGAGCCCGAACTGCTGTTATCCTGCTCGGCCGGCTCGTCGTCGTCGACGGATAGCTGGGGCAGCTTCTCCCGCTTGATGCGGCGCGTCGTCGATGGCATCGCCGGTTTCTGTTCGATGGAGCGCAGCTTCAGCTGCAGCTGGGCAATGATGGCATCGCGCCGTCTCACCTCGCCGGCCATATTCGAGAACTGCGACTCGAACTTCGAGTGCATTTCGTTCATGTGCGTCTTGATCACGTGATTGATGCCGCTCAGTATCTGATTGAAGTAGTCCTGCGCCTCTGGAAAGCCTTGAATTCAAATTCAAATGGAGTATCGTTCATAGGTTAGTAACTGAATGCAATCGGCTGGCAATGCAACCCTGTGTGTGTGCGCTTGCGGTACAGTTGTGTACGGTCCCTGGTGGGCAGGTGAGTGAGGCACAGCTATGTAGGCGTGTGTGAGTGTGTGTGCGACTGTATGCGTGTCTGTGTGGGTGTGTGTGTGTGAAAGACAGAGACAGAGACAACTAGTACAACAACACGTTGTGGTCGTTGTTGTTGTTGTTGTTGCTGTTGCTGTTGCTGTTGTTGTAGTAGTACCAAGTGATAAGCAAAATAGGTTATGCATACATACGCAGATTACAGTTATTTACACACATTCCCATACAAATTACAGCTGCCTTTCGAGAGTTTTTCATTCGGGATTTCTGTGTTTCATTTGTTTTGTCAAATTTTACGTATTTACAGAAGCATTTAGTGTTCTCTATGTGTGTGTGTGTGTGAGTGTGAGTGTGAGAGGGTGTCTCTGTGTGTGTGTGTGTGTGTTTGTTGCATGCTGAAGAAACAGTTCTTCGCCGTCGTCGTTGTTTCATTCCATTGCGTTCCAAAAGCGTGCGTGCGCGTGCCTGGATACGTTTGAAGCTCAGAATATCGATAACGCTTATCGATGACGAGCTCATACGCTTAACGGGCTGAAAATGCTATTGTGGCAGTGCAGATCGTGTACTTAACCCAACACAAATATTATTCATCTCTATAAAGTCAAAGCTTAGTTCAATACGATAAACATAAGTGATATGTGAAATAAATATTTACATTTCAATAGTACTCAAAAAGCTCTTACATGTACGCAAATCGATACAACTGCATATACCTTAGCTTATGTACAGTACAAATATACATATTCTATACTTAAAAGACCTATTAAGAAATTGACTTTGTCTGTAAGATTTTCGAGTTTTAATTAAGGTAAATCAAAAGGTGCTATCAACTCTTAGCCTAGCATAAAAGCATTCGCAATGTTAAGCAATATATCAGCAATAACCTAAATCATATCAAATAGGAGTTAATAGATGGCATTACCATGCATAAATTTAAAGATAGAAAGAGAGACAGAGACAGAGATAGAGAGAGATAGAGGACTAGCGAGAGAGAGAGAGATAGCGGGAAAGCCAGAGCGAAGCATTCAAAATTCGTGTAGTGTGCCTTCAGGCGCTGCAAAGGGCATGCAGAGCGCTTCAGTCTGATTCGCATTAGGGGTATTCCTTTTGTTGGAATAGAAAAAGAAAAAAAAAACAATTCGAAATGTTCAAAGAGATTAAGGATAAAATCAACCTGATTTTACTTGACTGGAATACCCCTAATGCTGGCACAATCAATACATAGATTTACTAAGTGTTGTTAAGCTTGGGGGCGTGGTTAGCGTTAGACTTGGAGTAATTGTACTTGATATAAATATACGATATATGGATACATTTTCGAGTATAGGACAGTTCTGCAATAGAATCACCTAGCGATAGCTGTTATCGTAATTACCTTCCAGTTTGGGCAGCTGACCCGCCTGGCTGCTCGCATTGGTCGTGTTCTGCCGGAGCTGCAAATTCAAATTCAAATCTGTGGATGTTGTGGATTGGGCATGAAATTCGGTATTCGACGAGCATTCGACCACATACGATGCGGATGCGGTTGCCGATGCGGATGTGGATGCGGATGCCGATGCGGATGCGATAGACGTTGAGCCGTTGCCAACGCCAGCGATGACGCCGTTGCCGCCCATCAGCTGCGGCTCAAATGCGGCGAAATACTCTTGCGGCGAATTCGTTGGCGTTACCAATGCCAACGTCGGCGACCAGACAGCCTGATCTGGCAGCATTGTTCGTGACGTTGCCACACTGTCATTGCCGTTGCCCGAACCGATGACCGTACCCGTAACCGTGCCCGTACCCGTACCCGTGCCCGTGCTTATACCCGTACTCGAACCGGAACCGTATTGCGTGCTGTTGCTTTTGCTGCTGTTGTTGTTGTTGTTGAGGCAAACAGCAGCCGCAACAGCAGCAGCACCACCACCACCGAGGGCCGCGAAGTGCCCCTCCTCTGTGGCACTGGAGGGCGGGCTAGAAAGAGTTGAATGGAAGGTTACACTCTTCAAGAGCTTACTGTGCCTGGCCACGTACCCTTCCAAGGTCGGCTCCATTAACAGCCCCCTCGACAGTGCACTGGTCTTGGCCTTGGCCTTGGCCTTGGTCTTGGTCTTGGCATTCGCCTCGTCTTGGGCATCACCATCGGCAGTACCACCGACACCACCACCACCACTAGCATCGTCAGCAGCAGCACCCTGCTGCATCTTCTTCAGTATACTCTTCAGCTTGCGCCGCTCCACCGTCTCGTTGGACTCGGGGCTAAGGGGCATGTAGTCCAGCTGCTTCAGCTGCTGCTTCGAGTTGCCGTCCGATGTGGATGTGTTGGTCGAAATGGATGTGGACGTGGAGCTGCTGGTGGTGGTGGCCGACTCGTAGGTGCTCAGAAACTGTGAGTAGATGCCGGAGGTGTCGCTATAGCAGCGGTACAGTGACTCCGCAATGGGCGCCTCGTTGTTGTTGCCGCTGCTCGACTTGGAGCAGTCCAGGCTGAAGCTGCGCGTCTGCAGCGCCTTCTCCAGCTCGGCCAGCTTCTGGCGCTCATTCAATATCTTCAGACGCTTCACGAACGGCAGTCCACAATACTCCGGCGACAGATCGAACACGCTCTGATATAGTTTACGGCCGCCCGTGGTGGCCTCGCCCTCGGGCAGCTTCTGCTCCGGCTTCTGCAGGCGCAGGCAATCGCGCGCCGTGGTCAGCGTGCTGCGCGTGCTCGAGGAGCAGGTGCTCGAGGTAGAGCCATGGCCACGCCCATGCCCATGCCCGTGTCCATGGCCATGGCCATGGCCGTGGCTGTGGCGGGAGCTGCGGGCACTGTGGTGGCGTGGTCGAGCGTTGGCGGTGCTCTCCATTTGCTGTGGTATATTGCTCAGCGAGTAGTTCTTCAGCGGCGTTGCCAGATCGTCCGGTGAGCAGTTGTTTAAGCTCGTGTAGCTCGACGAGATGAGCGTGGCCAGCTTCAGCTTGGACCAGGGCTTGATGGGCGTGCCGTCGGTGTCCGTGTCCGATTGCTGTGGTGTGAACGGCCTCAGCGGCTTCTTCGACAGGCTGCCGGTGGCGGCCAAGCTCTGCCCAACTGCACCGCCCACAATAGTTGGCTCCATTGGCAGCCCTGGCAACGCTGGCAAGGCTGGCAACGCTGGCAACGCTGGGCCGCCATGCTTGGCCACCACGGCCAGCGATTTGGGTGGTTCCTTTTTGGCTATGGCACCGGTGGTGCTGGTGGTCCCGGACGTGCTTGTGGTGCTGCTGTGGCCGGCACCACTTGGTATGGCCGGCACCACGCCCTGCAGCTGTTGTATCTTCTGCTTGAAGGAGACTTTCATGATGGGCTTGATTTGGGCAACGGTCAGACTTTGGCTAGCACCCGCAGCACCACTCGCTGCCCCACCAGCACCGCCCACACCCGTTGCCGCCGCAAAGTCCACCTTGCTGCTGATGTTGGGCGGCGTGTTTACCTAGAGGCGGGACGGATAGAAAATGCAATTAATATCGCGTAGATGACAAATGGAAGCTGTGTGTGTGTGTGGTGCTTGATATTCAGAGATAGAAAGAGAAAAATAAAGAAAGAGAGAGAGAGAGAGAGAGAGGAGAGAGAGAGAGAGTGGTGTTTTCGTGGTTTACCATGACGAGTTGGGTCTCGCTGCCAGCACCCGATTGTGGCTCATTTTTAATTTTCAACTGCTGCAATCGCTGGATCAGCGGAAAGCCTTCGTTGAACTCGCGTTCGGGCTCTTCCTGTATCGATTCCTGCGGCGATAACGTACACGTTACATGTGAGTGAGGTGGAGATTTCTGTGGTGGTGTGGACTTAACAGCTCGCTCTTCGCGATCCTAGTGCAAGACACATAAAGACACATACAAAAACTACTATTTAGGAGAGCCGGGGTTCATTACATAACATACAACACGAATTTTGCTGGATTGATTTTGCAACTTTTTGTTTTCTTAATCATTTTTGCTTTGTTTTCATATTGGATTAGAAGCGAAATCAAATCAAGTTCCAAATCAAAACTTTACAAATGCCAAAGCAAAGTTTATTAAACTCTGTTATTAACAGCGTATGCGAGATGCGAGGTGAGGTGTAATCAGCTGTGGTGTGTTGTCCATGTAAGGTTTGGTGAGTTATGGGCAAATGTTGTAATGCATGAAATGGTAAAGTGTGATGACGTCGGCGTGAGTTTGGTGAGTTTCATGTGTGGTGTATTGGCAGGATCCGTATGTAATGAACTAAACGCTGGTGTGTTGCATTGTGAAGTTCGAATGTTGATGAGCAAAAGCTCTAAGCTCGCACATGTCTGATGGCGGCGAATTTGGTGACTTTTATGTGAGCTATGTTAAGGTGTGGTGTATTGACAATAAATGTATGAGTGTGTTGTGTGGCGTAGTGTTCTCCATGTTGATTAATGTTAATTTTAATGTCGACATGTTTGGTGAGTCTGTTGCGTGGTGTACTGACAGAAGATGCATGAAAATGGTTAGTATAGAGAACAGAATAATATGGTATAGGTGGTAAATACTAGTCTTAGTCGTATAGTTTTCTCCGTTACAGTCCATTGTTTCGTATATAAGGTAGTTTCTGTAGTTTGCTGGATTTTGTTATAGGTTAAGGGTAATTGTGGATGGTCTGTTTCTCTTTTGACATGTCTTGAAGTCTGTTTTCTTGTTCAAAATATAATTTCAAGCAAGCAACTAATTTAGGGATAGTCTTAAAGGCAAATTGGGATTCACTAATTAGTTTTGGTTAACAGCAACACAACATAGATCGTTCTATTAACAGAAGAGCATAGAAATCTGCCAGCGATAATATAGCAATATGCCCTGATCTAACATTAGCTTCTGTCAGACCTTACCTTGCTAGCAAATTATACATATTTTGAAGCTCGATTATTGACACCTTTCAGGCTCATCTGAGTGCTAGCTAACGTGAGCTTTAACAGCAATTTAAAGCAATCGGATTCAAAGCGTGCTCCATACAGGGTATTATCAATCGAATGACTATAGGATTTTAAATGCTAAGAAATATTTATTATAGAGTGCACTAAAAGCAATTCAATATCGAGCTATAACCGTTCAGCGAATTCAAACCAAACAAAATGAACGAGGAACTAGAATTAAAGAAGCAGCACTCGATGCAACTCAAAAATGGAAGAGAGTGCGCATCGAGCGGGTATAAGTGTGAGTATAAGAGTGCCTGTACATGTTCATTTGTGGGTATAAGAGTGTGCAGCTGTGCGTATTCGTGGGTATAAGAGTGCTTTGTGTGTATATCATTGTTACGTATACGTATATGTTTTGTTGTAACTGTACTGTACTGTACTGTACTGGTTGCTTGAGTGTTGGGATAAACTCCATTAAAAGCTCGTGAGGCGATGAGGCGAATGATATAAAGACGATATACACGATAGTTGCGATATGTGTGTAGGTTAGTTTTGCGTATGCACGAACTCCAATCGGAATGGTGAATCGATCAAAATAGTTGGTGAGAGAAATAGAACTGGACGGTGGTGGTGAAGGTGGTGAAGGTGGTGGTGGCTGTGACAGTGGCTGTGGCTGTGACTGTGATTCATGAACAAATGGCACTGAATATGAATGCTATCGGGCCTCGACTTACCTGCTTCTCTTTGAGCAGGCGCAGCCGCTGCAGCAGCGGCAGCCCCGCCCCAATGGGACTGGGCGTCTTGTCGTGCAGCTCGTCCTTGGCCTCGGCGCTGTCCGCGTCCTTGTCGTCGGAGCGAACGCGCGACATGCGCTTCAGCATGATCTTACTGCCGCGTGGTGAGGTATTGTGCAGCGGTTGCATTTCCAGCGACTCGTCGCTCTTACGGGACGTTCTAAATCGGATGCTGGATAGTGGAAAATTCGTTTCAGCAATTATTGGACCTGACTTACCGGGACTTTTTCAGCACATTGCGAAAGCCTTTGACATCGTGCTTCAGCTTGTCCACGATCTTCTTCGAGGCACTGTTCTCGCTGCTGTCGCTCTGATGCACCTGATGATGGTGCGCGTGCGGATGCGGGTGATGCGGATGGGCCGCGGCGTAGGCAGCGGCCTCCTTGTCGCTTTGCGCCTTCGCATATTTCTTGTTCACGCAGCGCACCTCCATGAGGCGTTTGCGTCCGAGCGTCTGCAGGATCTCCTGTGCATCCGGATAGTCCTTCATGGCGGCGAGCACGTCCTCGCGCGATAGCGAGAACAGCTCCGAGTAGCCCACTGAGCGGACATCCGCTGTGCGCCTAGAGCATGTTCAGAGTTATAATAAGAGATTGGAACGGGCAAGAGAGGGAAGGAAGAACCTCCGGTAGTGCACTCACTTGTTCAGCCCATCCAGATTGAGTATGCCGATCTCACCGAAGAAATCGCCCGCCTTCATGGTGGTCAGCACCTTGCCCGTTTCACTGAGCACCTCCAAGATGCCATCGGCTATGATGAACATCTCGCGAGCCACCTCGCCCTTGCGACAGATCGAATCACCCGGCGTAAAGATGTACGCCTTCATCTTCAGCACCAGATCGTGCAGAAACTCCGGCTGGCACTCTTGGAATATGGTCACCTTCTTCAGTACGCTCAGGTTGACGTGTAAGGCCAATTCGGTTTTCAGCTTATCGGGCAGCAGGCCCAACGCCGTATTTATATCACCCCCACCCTGTATGCGACCCCGCGACCAGCTATAGTCATACCACCGCAGCACTCTCCGCTTCATTCCGCCCGGCACCTGCCAAATTCCATGGTCAATCAAGTTGCTCAATCATTCTACATCTTCAGTGCACTCACCTTATGATGCCTCATATAGGTCTTGGCCCCATCAAGTAAACGCTCGAACTCTAGCCGATTGGCATTACGATTCGTTATCACATTACCCACTTGGCCCACAATAGTTGCAAAGATAAAAACGCCAATCAGGTAACTAACGATCGTAAAAATATACCTGGGGAGGGGAAAGGGAGAGGAGTTATGAACAAAATTATAGCAAGTCTTGGCCGTATTAAGAGCGAGAGAGACAGAGCTAAAGAGTGAGTGTATCTTAATCATGAGGAAGCTTTCACAGTTAACTTTTAGCTTTTAGCAAATTTCGGTTTTAAGAACTTAAAGGCTTTCAAAAGAATTTCCATGCCAAGATCTCAACAAGAGATTTCCCTTACAAAGGTCCAGTCTCTCTCTCTCTTCCCCTCTATCTCCAACTCTGTCTCACTCTCTCTCTCATCGAATGTCATTGAAAAGCTCAATCAAAGTTTTCGAAAGCACATTTTCAATAGTTAATCAGCTTTGCATTGTTTTCTATTGAAATAGGCTTTGGCAATTGTGAGCGTTAAAATCTGTTTGGAATTGTTGAAGGCTGTCGCACGCTTTCGAAAACTTTGATAGCAAATATATCAAGCAAATATTCATAGAGTAGACAAGGCTTTGATCGTGATGCATGTAACAATTGTCAGAGCAGAAAGGATTTTCTTTTTCTTTTTCTTCTTTTTTCACTTTGTGCCAATAGAGAAAACGAATCGAACTGGTGGACAGCCCCCAACAATAAGCAAGATTATGTTAAAGTTAATATTGAGTTAGACTTAGGTGTTATGCATGCAGTTAGGAACTCATACCCATAGCTAGAGCCAAACTGTAGCAGTCGTGATTTGATGCCACGCCTTGGTATTGAACGAGGGCCGTCCACCGAAAAGTTCGGTCTGTTTTTGTTTGATTGTTTGATTTTTTTTTTTTCAAGACAAAGCCCGCCCCAGAAGATATCAATAATTTAGGCAACAGATCAACATCGATAAGCATCTCATACTCACTCTGCATTCGTCTCAGGGGTGGGCAAATCACCGATGGTAGTTAGCGTTAGGGTGGACCAATACAGGCTGCCCAAATACTTTCGGGTCAGCGTCGCATAGTCACCGGGCCTATACGGATAGACCCAATCGCCCTGGGAATAAAGCATATGCATGGACGGATAAGCCACACTCTATAAGAGAGTTAGACTGTCTGAGCACTTACCTGAAAGCCTTCCGCCTCGGAGAGCAAAAAATAGAAACAACCGAACCAATGGGCCAATATTAATAGGATATGAATTAGATTAACAACGCGCCATAAATTTGGCCAAACTGTTCTACTCTCTACGATGTAATAAAATCTCACAGATCGATATACCTGCAAGAGGAGAATATAGTATATATGCAGATATTTTATGTTATTTATTGTTCTAGTCGGGCAGCTCAGAAGCTCACTTTAAAAAAGCGCGTAAAACGCAGTAGCGGATGCGTGCCCATCTTCAACTGTAGCAGATCCAGGGGTATCAGCGCAATCATATCGAAGATGAACTCACGCGAGTGCACATAGTGGCAGGCCAGCTTCCTGTCATCATATACCTAAGCGGAAGGAGGACAAACAATATATATAATATGCAAATATATATATACTATATGGTAAACGATTCTATTCATATGCACTGCACTCACCATTAGGCCCTGCTCCAGATAGCCAGTACGTAATTGAACTATTATATCTAAGATAAATACAACATCTGTCAGTGAATCGCAGATGAGCCAGAAGGTAGGCACAGATTGCTGTCAGAATGTAAAAATAAATTGCAGCACAAATTAGTTGAGATTTTAGCAATTAGTTAGAATAACTTGGGCCAAGGACAATTTCAGTTATTTCAGCAATGCATTTTCACAATTGCAAATGCACACGAAAGTCACTAAGCCCCTTTCCCCCGTCGGCCACCGCCGCCGATGGCAGGCTGACAAAAATAAAGAGCGAGCGACCTCATGACAGCCAGAACCAGAACGGAGGCAACAACAACAACAACTACTACAACAACAAGAATAGACCCTGTCACACATTACGGCCTAAAGGTCAACCACGACGATGCCTCTACCCGTCGCACCGCCGAATATGTGCTCTCCACATTGTTTTGGCAACCCTTAGCTGACTTTAATCTGATGACAAACACCCAGCCAACTGGGCCGTGAGCAAACATTTGCACAGGTCCCCAAAAAACTAAGAGCCCACTAACTAACCAAAGAGCCGAGACCAGCACCGGCCGCTCTTGAGCCGTCTGCGTGTCTTTTAATTGAGTCATTACGAAACG